GGGGGGGGGGGGGGGGGGATTTTGGGGCTAATTTGAGACTGCTTTTCTGTAACCTTGTGATAGTATTTGACATGCAGTCAAAATACAATGAAATGGGAGGTTTGAACTATTCTTAAAATGTGCGTATAAGACAAGACTTGTTGTGTTTAGTCATATTATATTCGTTTGCCGAAAGTGACTTAAATATTTTGGCGAACGAGAATTTTTACCTCGAGATATTTTAAGGTTACGAATGTTTCAGCAAGTGATGTCTCAATCGTGATGATATAGCGTTTGAGTGTTATATTGGGGTGTCTCACTCATAATAAGGCCTAGAATCATTCTTGATAGTTCCTCCTAAATAAAACATTTGTTGTAACGACAAATGTAAGCTGTTTGAGTGAACGGTTATAATACAGATGGAGGTCAGATCATATCATTGTTAGAAGTGCTCAAAGCTTAAAATTATGATTTATGGGGGCCAGATAGAGTCACCATAAAGATTCTTTCATGACTGCTTTTGCAACGCTTCAATTTTATTTACTGTATTCTTTAATGAGACTTTTGATTGTCCACCGGATCAACTTAGCAAAATTACTAAGATTGGCCTAATTATAAGAGGTTGAAATAAATGGATGATGATTTAAATTTAATTTTCATTGTAGCTGTTATAATCTTTCTTAACTATAAAAAAAATCAAATAAACATTTTGCCTTCTCATATAAGCATTCTGCATTCTCAGATATTAAGTATACAATTATGCTGCATATTATTAGCAAAATTGATTATTTACCACTCTATACTATACCGAATATTTCTACACTTTATTAGCTATATGCCCATATCAGTATGAATGGATATACTTGAAAAAATCTCCAATCTTGAGCAGTATCATGGCACCTCGAACCATCCTTGAACGGTTTTCAATCTATGTAGAAACCTGTCAATCACAGATACCATCTCATCATCACACAATGTTACATGAAAAGCATATCAGGGCTTGAAATGACTCTCTGAATCTCAAGATGGGGTGATTTGGTTCATCATGTTGTTGCCAAGAGCCAAAAAGTGCAAAAGCTATTATAGCTCCGCTCCACATGTACGTGATGAAGATACTTACCTAAGTTGTCAAGTTCCACGAAGGGAACGGACACGATTTTGAATCAAGTTTCTTTCCCAGTCAGCTATATCCTCAAATGCATATTCTGGAAGATTCTCAAATGGCTCCTTCCATGGATCATTCTTAGCCAAATCATAAGTAGCTCCACGTATTGCTCTTTTATTCGGTCCACAAGGTCTCTTTGAAGTTAGCATATCATATGCTGTGTTTAGCTGACCAAAGAAAAACATGCCAACATGTCATATTCATTTGTGAAAAATTTAACCCTTCTCATGAAAAAAAAGTGTGGAAATTCTTTCCCGATTCAAAGATAAGGTAAGGGTTTAGAACTCACATTCATGACACAAAACCAGAACAAATAAGCAATTGTCACCGCTGGTGCTCTTCCGAGTCCAGCTGTAGATTGACCT